AGAGATACTCATTACAGCATAATGTATAACAGCAAAAAACCTGTCACAAGCTATATGTCTAACAATAAGGAAATATACATATCCCATGCAATATTACATAGCCCTTAAAATGAAGCATCTATAATTATATGAGATATTATGTAAAGAAAATAAAAATATATATAAAATTATATGAAAAAAAATGGTCCCAATCATATAAAAAGACATAAAAGACCAGAAGCGGGGTGGCCAGTTAGCTTGGTTGGTTAGAGCGCATGCTCTTAACAACAAGGCTGCCGGTTCGACTCCATCATGGGATAGTGGGTTGTGCCCCCCGCAACTAGATTGAAAATGGAGACTGGACTTGGAGCTGAGCTGCGCCCTCCACAACTAAGATTGAAGGACAACAACTTGACTTGGAGTTGATGGGTCCTGGGAAAAACACACTGTTCCTCAGTAAAGTTAAAAAAAAAAAAAAAGACCAGAAGGAAATCCATGAAAATGTTCGTGAAGGTTGATGGTGCGACTATGAAAAGCATAGTATTAGGTTGAACTGCATGACATTACTATTTTTGTGAGTCAATTTCATATGGGTCAACCTAATATCTTAATGAAAAGAGCCCAAGGCAAACTTGAATTCGAATCCCAGATCAAATGTATGTATCACTTAGTATGCATCATCTCAGTTGGGTAACCTTGGACAAATTTACTAAAATTCTCTCACAGGCCCTCAGTTGCCTCATCTGTAAAATGGGCATAAAAATAGTCTATATCTTAGGTTTGTATTTAAGATTAAATGGAATAATGCATGTAAGGGACCTGAGACACAGCAATCCCTGAATAAAGATGGCCATCATTGTGGTCGGTGTTTAATTATGGTTTTCTAAATTCTGCAACTGACTAACAAAATCATTTAAATTTTCAAAGCGGTTGTGGTCTATTCCCAGGGGATCTGGAGCCGGGTCAGGGGCTGGGAATGTGGTTGAAGGCTTTCTTCCAGCCCTGCTGCGACAGAGACAGTGATCCTGAGAGCAGAGCTGGATGTTTGTCTCTGAGGGTCCCTGGGAGCTTTATTTACAGAGGACACTTTGTCCCAGGGCCCAGACTGCCTCCTCACCCCAGCAGCTGCTATAGGGACAGAGTCCACAAGAAGGGTGGCCTCAGCCCACCCTGCCCCTCAAACCCTGGCCCCTGATCCCAGTACTTGGCATCCAGCACCCAGCCTCATCACAATAGCCTTTGGCACAGTGGGAGCAGCTTCTGGTTCCCAAACACAGAGCTGAGCTCAGCTTTTTTTTCTTCTTTTTAATTGGGGAATTGGGGAAGGGGAACATTGTGTTTTTCCAGGACCCATCAGCTCCAAGTCAAGTTGTCCTTTGAGCTCAGCTTTGATCATGTCCAATACCCATGAGTGGGATAGAATTTCTCTTTGTGGTAATGGTTGCACAACATTGTGAATGTAACTAAAGCCACTGAATTGAACACTTAAAATGGCCAATTTTATGGTATAGAAATTTTACCATGACATTTTAAAAAATAAAATATATACATATATATACATCAAGGAATGGGAGGACTAAAGGGAGAGCTGGTCCTGTGGGGTTTCAGGACATTACCTGGGCTGGTGGATGCCACAATAGGAGACCTGGATTCGGTGGCCCCTGTTCCGCCCCTGATTTGGCTCTATGAACTTAGGTAACTTAACTCCTCTGAAGATGACATACTGCCCATAGACAGCTGTCATGGAAATCAGATGTGATCACGTGGTGCGAAACTCTGTCAAACACTCAGCAGTGTGTTTTAGCATTATCTCGCTCTCCCCTCCTTTCCCCCAAAGAAAGAAAGAAGGAAAGAAAGCCATCACAAACAAAATACAATAGTACCGTTTTTTTGTTTTTGGGTTTTTTTTGCCCTTGAAAAATGCTTAAAATTCCACCTTCAGGCTTAGAATTCTGTTAAATGGAAACTTCCAGAAATAAGAATGGGTAGAAGGGAAGCTAAAGGAACCTCTCAATCTCTGGCTCCTCACTGGAAAGGGGATGTTATCTTTTCTCGTGGATTGGCTTTGTGGGACCTCCAGGGAGGGAACGATGAGACTCAAGGTGCCAGAGGAGAGCAGCGCAGGTGGACAAAAGTGCACAGACAGGGGAGGGCTGGGGTGCCCAAGAACCACCCCCAACATCACAGCTCTGCAATGGTGTTGGGCCGTGGAGAAAAGTGTCCTCCGCCTGCCCCTTCTCTGTCTCCCTACTTCCCCCCTCCCCTAGCCTTCATACCTTAGGATGCCTTTCCCATCTTTCTCCTGGGAGATTTATTTATGTCCCTTTTTTTCATCTAAAGCAGCGGAAATGAATCATCTTTCAGCCTCTTTGGTAAACAACCCCACGCCCTCTGACCCTGCTGGGCTCTCTCACTGGTTCCTCTGGAGCTGCTCCTGGGCTAGGACTCACCCCCCCCACACACACACACACAGTCAAGACCCTCCTGGCTGGCTATTCTTAGTAATGTCTCCCTTCCCTCGGGGCCTGGAGCTTGACCTCCTCCACCCTGGGGAAGATGGGGAGTGACACACAGCATTCCAAATGAGAATCCCATGAGCCAGCCAGAGGGGCAGGGGAAGCCAGCCAGCCACCGTGTTTGGAGTGCTTTGTGTGCCATGTACTGGCACGCCTCAATGACCCTAATTAGGTGGATCTCGCAATCCTCATTTTACAGATGAGGGGTCCGAAGCTCAGAGAGGTGAAGGCACTTGCCCAACGTCACACAGCTAGTAAATGATGGAGCCAAGATTTAAAGCCTGGATTCCTGGATTCAGTCTATTATTCCGGGCTGTGTGTTTGCATGTGTACACATGTGTGTTGAATTGGGGATTCAGGCCCATCAGCTACAGCATCAACTGCCATCCCTCAGGATGAAAACCTAACATCTGTGTGGATTAAGCCACACGCGTATGACAGATGGGTGTTTACCTACAGAGGGGATGGCAAGGGTGTGCAGTGTGTGTCTTACCAGGAGCCCATGGGCCACTGAAGATGGTGTCAGAGTGACAGAGATGGGGGAAGGGAAGGAGGATTAATAAAATGCCTATATTCAAGACCACCTAGGCCCTGCCCACACCTCACAGTGATGGAACTTCACAGATAAGTGTCCAGTGTCCAGGGGTGTCCACGTTGGCGAAACCACACTTCCTGGTGAACGCACTCCTGCAACTATTTGTCGGACTTCTAAAAATGAACAGGTACTATTTCTAGGAGCTATGTGGGATACAGAAATAAAGCTCCTGACATCAAACTATCTAGTGTGGGCCTGTGGGTTGGGGGGAGGAGGAATTAACATAAATAAATAAATGGCTGATGCAAGGTAGATAGAAAGTGCTCAGGGCCAAAGGGATGGATGGATCCTATATGAGTGTTCTAGGAGGACCACAAACTGGGGAGATTACTTGAGGTAAGGCATCAAGGAGGGCTTCTTGAGGAGGTGGCATTTGAATGTCTCTAAGTAGATGCAGACTCTATTTCAGTAGAACGCTGTAACAGAAGTTAGATCCTGTTTGATTTTTTTTTTTAAGATTTTAATTGGGGAATTGGGATGGGAACAGTGCTGGGGAATTGGGGGAAGGGGAACAGACAAGTTGCTGTCGTTTTGTTCTTCAGTCTAGTTGTGGAGGACGTTGCTTCACTGGCCCAAGTTGGCACCATCATTGCGCTCTTCCCGGGCGAGGCAGATCAGTCGCCGGCTTCTGGATGGCTGCTCACTGCGGCTGCTGGCCGCTCACGCTGGCTGCTGGCTACATACGGTAGCCCATGGCAACCCACTGCCACAGGGGCTGCAGCCTACGCCCGCCCGTTGCGGGCGACTCACAGCAGCCCAGCTCCAGGTTGAGCTGTTTTTCAGCATCTTAGCTGTAGAGGCAGTGTCATTGGCCCTCATATGTGGGATCCGAACCGGGGCCCTCTGGCGTCCCAAGCCAGTTCTTAACCATCGCGCCACTCGGCCGACCCCCGTTTGATTTTTTTTTATTAAATTATTTTTTATTATGAAATACACATTTTTTAGAATTAGTTTCAGCTGTACAACACAGTGCATAGATCCCGTTTGATTTTTCAAGGAGCCTCGAAACGCAGGCGTATACCCTTATTCCCCTTCTGCAGAGGTGAAAACTGAGGCCCAGAGAGGTTGACTAGTTTGTCCATAGTCACTCAGCTAGCAAGTGGCGGGACGGAATTTGATCCTGGGGCCTCTGGGACCGACTCTAAACCCCGCGCTCCGGTCCATCGCCGCAGGTGCCCGCCTTAGCTGGGAGCCGGAGCAGAGTCCGCTGAGCTGAAGAACCGACCCGACGCGTCCAGGGCGGGGCGGAGAGTCGCGGAGGGGCGGGGCTGGCGGCGGGGCGGGCCGCGCGACAGGCGCTCGGGCTCTGTCCGACTCCACCTGCTCAGGAGAGCCATGGGCGGCCGCGCTGGGCCCCGCTGAGCTCGCGGGGCGGGCCATGGGCGACCGCGAGCGCAACAAGAAGCGGCTGCTGGAGCTGCTGCAGGCTGCGGGCACCGGCAACGCTCACTGCGCCGACTGCGGGGCGGCCGGTAAGGGCGCGGCCGCGCGGGCGGCCCGGGACCCGGAGCCTCACCCTGGCCCGCCAGACCCCTCCCCGCCTCCCAGACTGGGTGCGCCCGGGGTTCCCGCTGGACCCCGGCGTGACCCTGTGGCACCTTCAGAGCCAAGCCCCCGCCCACCCAGACCGTGACTCTCCGACCCAGGTCCCCGATCGCCCTTTCCTCATCCTCCCCACTCTGGGCCCCGACACTAGATCTCGGACCCGGGTGCCCTGACTATCTTGCTCACCTCCCACGCCAGACACCCTACCCACCCGGACTTTGGTCCCTGACATCGTCACCCCCAAACCAGGCACTTACCATACCCTCAGACCCAGACACCCCGCGCACCTAGGGGTCCCAGACCCCGCGCGGGCGCCCCCTACCCGTGCAGCGCCCCCTCCCCCACCCACGAGCGCTCCTCAGGTCTTCCCGCGTTTCTGCTCCTCAGCTTCCGACCCTGCAGCCCGGGAGGTGCCGGGACTCAGGCTTCCGCACTCGCGGCTCCCCAGCCCGGCGTCTCGGCGCGGGCCCCTCTCCGTGCTCCCCTCTCAGCTCCTTGGAGCCCTGCCACACTTCCCGCCGCCCCAGCCTCTCGCCCACCATCCCTGGGACTCCTTCCGAGATCTTTACCCTGGTGGTCGCCGCGCCACGGCCGGTGGGATGACCAGAAGGTTTTATGCTGGCATCTTAGTTCACCCAAGGTGGGGAGACCGAGCGAGAAGGAGTTCTCGGAGTGGGCAGAGCTGGACACCACCCCAGGAATCCTAACTGCCAAGCCCTACCTCTGCCTCTGCCCCCAGCCCAGCTCTGAACCCAGCTCCCCTCCTGCCTTCTCGCCCCGCAGATCCCGACTGGGCCTCTTACACGCTGGGCATCTTCATCTGTCTGAACTGCTCCGGCGTCCACCGCAATTTCCCAGACATCAGTAAAGTGAAATCCGTGAGACTTGACTTCTGGGACGACAGCCTCGTGGAGGTAGCGAGGGGCGCACGCGGAGCGCCTTGGGACAACAGAGCTGGTGGAGGCGGTGGGTAGGGCGCTCCCATTAGGCGGGGAAGGAACCTGAGGCCCAGAGAGGGGTAATAACCAGCGAGAGAAAACACAGCCGATTGCAGCCGTGGCTTAGACCGAGGCCCTGAGTGCAAACCCCTGCTTCATCGCTTGTTTGTTTACGGGCTGTGAGGCCCTGAGCTTGTTATGTAACCCTAGTTGTGGGCCCTCCGTTTCCACATGTGTAGTATGGGGGTACCACTACCCGCTTCAGAGACCTGCTGTAAGGATTAAATGTAGGCTTGATGCGGTGGTGATGTCACAGCTGCTGTTCTCATTAGCTGAAGACCTGGACTGGAACAGAAGTATTCTGATTTCAGTGTCCTGAGTCTGTAGCCCCCCTCCAGTCCCCCTAGCCAGGAAGGAGGACCACTTTGCTCTCCTGACCTACGGAGATGGAGCACACCTTCGTCCTGGATGATAACACCATTTCGGCCATAAAACCTTCTGGGAACAGGTCGTGCTAAACTGTGCTTGGTTGGCTGAGGGTTTTGAGAAGGCCATGGTCACTCTGTGTCAGGCACTCTGCTTGACCCTGGGCTACGTGCTGCACGTATTCACTTGACACATAATTACTGTAAGCCTGCTATCTGCTGGGTATTAGGAGAGGGCAGGGAGCAAGCTAAAGTCTGTTCACATGGAGCTTACAATCTAGTGCAGGAGAAGGACAGGAAAACCGGCACATAAACCCAGGAGATATTTCTGTGTGCCTTAGAGCTCCCCTGTTACAGTTTCTTCATTTTTGCAGGTGAGTTCCCTGAAGTTTAGGGGGTTAAATATTGCCCAAAGGTCACTCTATGAATAAATGGCACAGCTGGGATGTGAACCCTGCTCTGTGGGCATCCAAAGCCCATGCAAATCCTGTGATACAGCCCAGTGGCCCCTGGGGAGGGGGGAACAGGGTTCACCCTATTAAAAACATGATGTTTCCTCCCACACTGCCCTGGCCCCAGATACACTACTACTGTTCACTGGGTGCGGACTGTCGACCAGGGCCACTCTTGGCCCATGTGCCTCTGGGTTTCTCTGGTGTCAAAGGGCCCCAGTGATCATTACAACCTAGGACTCTATTGGGCCAGCACCAACTTTCAACCTCCAGCTACATTTGTCTTCCGTGTATTTGCAGGGACTGCAGCGAGGGGTTGGTCCGGGCCATCTGTGGAGGGGGTGGGACATAGAACATGAGCTTTGGAGTTAGACAGGGCTGGATTCAAATCCCAGCTCTCCACTTACTATCTGTGGCACCTTGAGTAAGACACCTAACCTCTCTGAGCCTCAGTTTCCTCGTCTCTCAAATGGGGATGGTAATATTAAAATGGGTAAGGGGATCAAATGCACGAATGTGTGAGAACTGTAAAGTGCTCTGCCTCTGTGAGGCGTGGTTGTTAGAGTACCTCATTGCTCAAAGCTGGCGTTTCCCAGCAGCATGGTGACAGCCTGGTGGGATTCGTCAAACTCCCACAGGAGCGTCTCCTGACTCAGCTTGGGAGCCACTGAGAACAATGGCCTTCTGGGTAGACCATGGTTTCATTTCACATTTTTTCAAGTTCTAATATTACCCCAAGTTGCTGTTGTCTTGCAGTTTATGATGCACAATGGGAACCTCCGTCTGAAGGCCAAGTATGAAGCCAGAGTCCCTGCTTTCTACTACATCCCCCAGGCCGATGACTGCCTGTGAGTGTGTGAATTCTTGGTCCCACCTCCCCCACCCCAACCCCATCTCTGGGCCTTTGTCTGTGGTGGTCTCCTCTATGGACCTGGTCAGCAATTGGATCCAGGAAAGCGGTTGGTACTGTTGTGGAGATCACATAGACCCGGCTTAAGCCCTCCCTACCTTTATTGCTTGGGCTATTACTTCCTCTCTCTGAGATTCAGTTTCCACAGCTGTGAAATGGAGCATTTTCTCCATGATTTACCCCATTTGCCTCTGATGTTCTCATAGCCAACAGGTGGTGGCTAACGTGATAGAGGAAAAAAAATGCTGATATTTTAGTAGAATGAGTGTGTTCCAGCTACTTCCTATGGAGTGTTACGTCTGGGGTTGTTCCAAAGCAGCTGCCTTGACCCCAGACCCCTAAATAATAACCATAAAAATAATAGTATTACTAATAATAGAATTGAGTTTTCCCTGTGTACCAGGCCCTGTGCTAAATGCTCATGTGCTTTAATTGGTTGAATTTTCTCAACAGCCCTATGAGATAAATACTGCTATTATCCCCATGATATAGATGAAAAACCTGAGGCTTATAAAGGCAGAGCTGGGACTAGCCTATCTGATACCAGAGCTGGGCATTAGGAAAATCTAATATAATGGGGGTGGGGGGAGGTCGGGGGTTGTCCGTGAAGCGGCAGGATGGTTCACTTCTCCTGAAGGTAAGGGGTCAGTGTGGCACTGGTACCTAGTGACTCCAGACCTCTGCAAGATTGACTGCCTGAGCCTCTCTCCTAGGGCCTCAGCCTCGTGGCCAGAGCTGCTAGACAGCACCTTGTGTAAGTGGGAAGAAGGTATCCCCCTGGGCGGACACAGCCTCCTGGGCACATGGCTTGTAGGAAGCAAGGCTGCATTTCAGCCACCCTTGTCTTTTAGCCTCTGCTTTTGGACAATGCACACATTATACAACCGTACCTGATGGTCCTGCAATTTCCCAGTACCTCAACAACCCAGGGGCCATGGATACAGTGTAGAGTGGCAGGGAAGGCACAGCTTCTGACTCAGAAGACCTCAGTTCTGTTTCCTGACTCTACCGTGAGCTAGCTGTGGGAAGGTAGACAAGTTACCAAACCTCTCCGACTCGTGGCACCCTCATCTCTGAAATGTAGATAAGGAAGCCTATATCATAGCATGGTGGAACAGATTAAATGAGATAATTTATGTGAAATATCTGAAAGGCCACCCAGAATGCAGGTTTTAATACATTTCTCAGTGTCAGCTTTGGCATGCTGCCTGGTCCCTGACGCAGGGGAAGGATATGCCAGGCTCAGTTTGAGAGGGCCTGGCTCATCTTGGCTCATTGCTGCCACTCAGCACTTTGTTCCAAGGGGAAGGGAACAGGCACTTGCTGAGCAGCTACTATGTGCTAGGCTTTCTGCCAGCACTACACAGATACTGTTTGTCATGACTCCAACAGCAGCCCTGCACTTTAACCCCTTTTAACTGAATACTAATGGCCTCCTCCCCGCAATTCTAAAACTCATCTAAATTCCCCACCTCCAGGACCGGGATTGGGCCACAGCTCCATTCTCTCTCCCAGCTCTGATCGTGTGGCTCAGGGTTCCACAGTAGGCTTGGTGACTCTTCTCTGTCCTGGGTGAGGACTATGCATTAGATAGGACTCTTGATTGTAAGGGACAGAAACCCAGCTTAAACCAGTTTAGTAACAAGGAGATTTTATGGGCTCTGGGTATCCGACTACAGGAAAGACAGAGGTGGAGCCACCCACACGAAGGACAAGCCAGGGGCTCAAACACTATCAGGTCTCTCAGACTCTCTGGCTTTTGTTCACGTATCTAGGCTTCCTTTATGCACCTGGGACCAAGACCATGTTCAGGTCCCCAGCTCCAGCCCCCAGCTTGACCCCAGAGAAGACTTCCAATCCATTCCTCTCTCAGTTTTGCTTCTTTTGGTTCACACGACCCTAGGCATTGTGCTGATTAGCCAGTTTGGGCCAGGTGCCCAGCTCTAGGTCATTCCCTGGGGTTGTGGGGTGAGGTTATATAAACTTTGGAGCATTCATCTGGAAATGGCAAGAGGGAACCAAACAATTAAGCCCACTCTTGGCTGCATGGTTTTTCTGCAGGGGTCATGAAAGACAGTATCTGATTTGGCTAACATTAAATACCTACTGTGTGCTGAGCATGGTACTAGGCCCTTTATAAACATTTAAACCTACCCTGAGAGGTAGGTAGGTATTCTATTATTGGCATAGTCCCCAAGTTCAGAGCAGGTAAGTAACTTGCTCTTGGTCACACAGTGGATAAATGGTAGAGTGGGACCAGGTGGTTGGACCCCACGTCCACTGCTCTGTCCAGTGTAGCATGCCCAGCTTTCATGTGCAGGCCACAGGAAGAGGCTCATGGACGCTCTGGGCGTAAGTCAGGACCATGCAGTGGGGGTAGCAATGTAGACGGTCCGGAGGACCTGGTACGTGTCTCACTGACCTAGAGGGCTGAGGCTGGGGCTGGAATAGCCCAGTGGTTTTCATACAACCCACTGGGGGATATATTTCCCCCCCCCAGGAGATACTGGCAATGTCTGAAGACATTTTTGGGTGTCACAACTGGGGTGGGAGTGCTACTGGCATCTAGTGGGTAGAGGCCAGAGATGCTACCCTTGGTAGCCTGAGCAGGTAGTAAGGCAGCTGCTGTGATGCTCCCACCCTCAGCTACAGGGTCTCAGAAAGTTCCTGTGGGCAGAGAATGCATCAGACACAGCTGACCAAAGGTTTTCTCTTTTTTAGGGTCTTAAAGGAGCAATGGATTCGAGCTAAGTATGAAAGACAGGAGTTTATGGCTGATGGGAAAACCATCTCACCCCCAGGTAAAGTTATTTCCATCGCCTTTTGAGGTCTATGTCCTAATGCGTTCTAAAAAACACAGAGCCTGAGTATTAGGAACAAGGTCCAACCGAGAGATAACTGCTGTCCTCACTCTGGCCGCAGAGGCCCAGGTGTGGGCTCCTCTGCCTCTGAAATGGCAGCCCATCAGCTGGTGGGGTTTTATGGTCCGAGGGGCCGAGAAGCATATTCGTCTCAGGTCTTTGCAGGGCCACAAGTGTGTATGCAGAGTCTTAGTGTAAGTTGCAGGAAGACTCACCCACCTGGAACACGCCCCTGCTCTTGGCTAATGTAGTCCCTCGAGTAGCACAAGGCTTGGAAGGAGCATACACTGGATTTCAGCCCCACTTCCCACCTTTGTGCAGGGCGCAGCCTCCTTGGTGACCCTGGACCTGTGGCAGTTTCTGCCCAGCTGCTTTGACCCGGAGAGCAAAGCATACAAAACCACTCTTTGAGGACCAAAGGCAGCCAGGGCTCAAATCCCCTAGCTACCCAGAGCACATGGTATTCTTCAACCAGCAGGTGCCTAGAGGTCACTCATTATTCCTGTGCTCTTGAGAGTGTCATTAGGCTGATGTCAACTTGAAGTCATCAGAGCAGCTTGTCAGTACTTAAGGGTTCACCGTGTCTCCTTATGAAACAGCCAATGAAGAAAGTGGTGGGGAGGAGCTGAACTGAAATCATCAGACTGCAAATTTGGCCCCAGACTGGACCCCTGTGTCAGCTGAAGTAGCTAAGTTAGAATCAAGACATTTTAATAGCAGGTGAAAGGTTCGTTCCACCCTGAGACCCTATGAGGTTGGTGAGCTGCTTGTCTGTCTTAAGGCCGTGGGCGTTCACTCTTTCTCGTCCTTGGTGGCTAAGGTAACCGAGAAGGGTTCCTGTGGAAGCGGGGAAGGGACAAGGCACAGTTCCTGAGAAGGAGGTTTGTCCTCCTGGTGAAAGAAGGCCTCCTGAACTACTACACTAAGGAAGAGGTAAGAGGCCCCACCAGCGAGGGGTCCCCTCCCTGAGCACTGGGCTCTCACCCCACTGAGGTCTACATTTTAATCAACGGTGCCTTGTCTTGTGGACGATCTGAGCCACTGAGAGTTAAGCAGCACATCCTGTTTTTCCTTGGTTATACAACCAAGCCAGTCCACTACAAAACACACCTTCTCCTCACCTAGAATGGGCCTAGACTGGTCCATGATTAAGCCTTTGATGATCACTTGATTTTACTTCATTTGTTCATGCATTCAAGAAATATTTCTTGAGCACCTACTAGATGCTAGACATTACTTTAGGCACTGGGGATACAGCAATGAACGAAACAAAGCTCCTGTTTTTATGGAGTTTTCATTCTAGTGGAAGGAGATAGGTGGTCACCAAATCATACATCAATATATGACATATCGGGGGACAGTAAGTTCTAGGAAGTAAAATAAAAGAGGGTGAAGGGTTAGAGGATGATGGGAACATGGCAGGGGGTGCTACCACAGAGTGGTCAGGGAAGGCCTCTCTGATGACCATCTGAGAAGAGAGCTGAATAAAATGTGAGTGAGTTATGTAGCTATGTGGGGAAAAGAAGAAGTGAGGGGAACAGTATGTACAGAAGCCCTGAGCATGGTCCTGGCTAGCACGTACACCTGTGTGCTAGTTAGAAAACGTGACCCCTCTGAGGGGGTGCAGCGCTCAGGCCCCAGTCTACACAAGCAGAAGCCTGCCATTGCTGTTCTCACGAGCACCTGCAGCCAGGGGCTTTTCGTTCAGTGCACAAACTGTTCAACCATAGCTACAGCCCTGGCCTGAGCTGGAAGTATGTTTGGTGGGCCTATAAGGGCATCAGGAGGTCAAAGTGATCGGTGCAGAGTGAGTGAAGAAAAGGATGGAGGGAGATGAACCTCCATCCATGTGGGCCTTGTGGGCCATAGTAAGACTTGGGGTTTTTTGGGGTTTTTTTGGAACAACTTTATTGAGATAAAATTCACATACCATACAATTTACCCATTTACAGCATACAATTCATAGTTTTTAGTGTAGTCATAGAGTTGTGCAACTATCACCACAATTTTGGAATATTTTCATAACCCCCAAAAGAAACCTTATACCCATTAGCTGTAATCTTCGACTTTACTCCACTCCCTAGCCCTAGTGGCCTAGCCAGCCACTAATCTACTTTCTGTCTCTATAAATTTGCCTATTCTGGACATTTCCTATAAATGGAATTATACAATATGTGTGGCCTTTTGAAACAGACTTCTTTTCATTTAGCAGCATTATGTTTTTAAGGTTCATTCATGTTGTCACATGTATCAGTACCTCATTTCTTTTTGTTGCCAAGTAATATTCCACTGCATGGATATATTATGTTTCATTTATTTATTCACCCATCAGTTGATGGACATTTGGGCTTTTTCCACTGTTTGGCTAGTATGAATCATGCTGCTATGGACATTCATGTACAAGTTTTCATGTGGACATATGTTTCCATTTTTCTTGGGTATGTAAGTAGGAGTGGAATTGCTAGGTTATATGGTAACTTTGTGTATAATCTTTTGAGGAACTTCCACACTGTTTTCCAAAGTGGCTGCACCATTTTATATTCCCACCAGCAATGTATGAGGGTTCCAATGTCTCCGCATCTTCACCGAAGCCAGTTACTATCTGTCTTTTTTATGATAGCTATCTCAGTGGGTGTTTTGGAAGTAGAACCAATAGGATTTACAGGACAACTGGATATACGATTTGAAAGTAAGAGGAATTCAGGGTGATTCCCAGATTTTCCCCTGTGTAATTAGAAGGATAGATTTGCCATTTGACAAGATGGCAAAGATTTAGCTCCCTAACAGGATGATCATCATTTGAGATGCTTGTTAGTCACCCAAGTGGAGACACTGAGAAAGAAATTGGGTATATGAGCCTGGAGGTTTGGGGGGAGTTTGGAGCTGGAGGTCTCCAGCACGTAGACTGGGTAAGCAATCGCATCAACTGGGATCACCTAAGCAGGGGGTGTGGGTAGATGAGAAAAGATGTCTGAGTACTGAGTATTTTAGTTATTTGTCGCTGAGTGACAAGCCACCACAAAACTTAGTGGCTTAAGACATCAACTTATTATTTCCCACAATCCCATGGGCCAGCAACTTGGGCCAGGCCGTGGCTGCTCCAGTGTACTCCGAGGGGCATCAGCTGTGGTCACTCTCATCCTGCTGCGTTTAGCTGGTGGTTGTGCTGGACTCCGAGGCCCAGGAAGCCTTTACTCACATGTCTGATGCCTTGGCTACTCCTTGTGGCCTCTGCCTCTCCATGTGGTTGTTCCTCATTCATGAGTTTAGCTCCACCTTCTCTAGAGCATGGCGGCTGGCTTCTCCCGAGCAAATGGGGGTGCTGCTGGCCTGGTAAAGGTGAGGCCAGGACTGCCTTCTCTTGGTCAGAGCAAGTCATGCAGCTAGCCCTGATTCAAAGGGAGGGAATATAGATTCCCCCTCTTGATGGGCAGAGTGGCATGGGCACTCTGGAAGGGAAGGAATTGATGAGGGCCGTCTTTGGAGTTTATTTACCATGCTGAGCTCTGGGACAAAAAGAGGAGAAGTTTCCGGCAGAGAATGTGAAGGAGTGACCAACAAAGTAAGAGGACAAGCAAGCTCTGAGCACTTTACCCTTCATCTGACTCCGTTTCCTATATGTAGAAATTATTATTTATTTCCCCTGTTGTTTTCCTATATGAACCTGAGCAAAGTCAGAAGTTCTGTCTAATGTGGCCGCAGTCAGGGGCCAAGTGAAAAATGGTGGGAGAGGAAGAGTATTAACTCTCCAAGTGAGAGGAGGGATTTCTTCTCAGTCTTTAATTTAAAGCACTGAAACATGTTTCAGGTACCAAAAAATAAAAATAAAATGGAATGGAATGGTATGCAATAGAATAGAATAGAATAGGATAAAATGGAAGAAAAACTGTTGCTGCAGAGTTAGCAGCGGTCACTGAACCCCAGCGGTCACTGTGAATTGACCTCTAGGAGTGTCTCATCTTTGGCTGGAAAAAATTGATCTTTTTGTCAGTCCTAAGCCAGTTCAGTTTAAAACAGTCTAAAAACAGAACCAGTTGCCTTTGTTCTTTTTTCTTTCCCAAGAGGGGCATTTTTTAAAATTACAAGGTTAATTCGCTTTTATGTAAACATTTTGGGTGATACAAAAAAGTAAATAAAATATAAAGCAAGTGGGCCAGTCAAGTGGCTCAGTTGGCTAAGAGTTGACTTAAGAGCATGAGCTCTGAGCAACAGGGACACGGGTTCGATTCCCACATGGGCCAGTGACGCTGCACCCGAGCTGAGCTGTCGCTGAGCTGCCAACAGGTGGCAGGATGGCTCAGCTGGTGTAACAACAAGATTGCCTGTTCAATGGTGGGCTATGCCCACCCGCAACTAAGACTGAACTTGACACCTTGAACTGAGCTGCCACCCACATGGCTCAGTGGATAGAGCATGCACTCTTAACAAGGCTGCTGGTTCAGCTCCCACATGGGATGGTGACTGTGCCCACCCGCAACTAAGATTGAACACAGCACCTTGAACTTAGAGGCCACGAGCTGCCGACAGGAAGCCAGATGGTGACTGGCACCCTCCACAAGAAAGACTGAAGAACAACAACTTGGCTGGTCCCCTCCCCCAATTCCCCAACACTGTTCCCCTCCCCTAAATCCCCAATAAAATCTTTAAAAATATATATATATAAAGCAAGTGAAACTCAGAAGATATCTCAACATAATGAAATGTTAATACCCAGAACACAGTTAAAAAAAGAAAAAACAAAAACCTGTAAATCCAGAAGAAAAAGACCATCCATTGGAAAAATAGGCAACAGAAATAGCCTGGCAGTTCACAGAAAAGGAAACCAAAATACTTGATAGATTAAGAAGAGATGCTCAAGATCTCTGGCTGTCAGGGAAATGGAAACTAAAAGCACAATGAGATATACTACACACCCACCCGAATGACTAAAATTTTAAAAGCTGACAACACCAAGTATTGGCTAGGATGTGGGGAAACTGGAACTCTCATACATTGCTGGTGGGACTGAAAAATGATACAACCTATTTGGAAAAACAATTTGACAATTTTTTAATAAAGTTAAAGGTATACTTAACCACATAACCCAGCCATTCTGCTCCTTAGGTGTTTACTGAAGAAGAACCAAAACCTACGTCCACAAAAAGATTTGTACACAAATGTTCACAGACACTTTGTTTGTAATAGCCAAAGCCTGGAAAGAGCCCAAATGTCCATCTACAGCTGAGTAAATAAAAAAATTGTAGTATATCCATAGAGTGGAATATCACTTAGCAATAAAAAGGACAAACTACTAAAAAAAATGCAACAATGTGGAACAATCTAAAAAAATATTATTTTGAGCAAAAGAAGTCTTAAACAACACATACTGTATAATTTCATTTATATGAAATTCTAGAATTCTATACCAATAGAAGGCAGATAAGTGATTGCCTGGGGTTGGGGGGTGGAGAGGGATTACCTGCAAAGGAGGAAACTCCTTTGAGGACATAGTGATGTCCTATGTCTTGATTGTGGTGGCGGTGACATGGGAATATATGCCTGTCAAAAATCAAACTGTGCTCTTAAAATGAGTACCACTTATTGTTTATGAAATATACCTCAATAAAATTGATTAAATGAAAACAGTGAGATCTGATTTCAAACCCATCATACTGGCAAAAATGTTAAAAACTGGCAGTGTCAAATATTGGTGAGGATAGGGGGAAAGGGGAACTCTTCTATGTTATTGATGGAAGTAAATATGGGGACAACCGCTGTGGAGAGCCATTCAGCAAAATCAGTTGGCAGTTTCCAGTAAGTCAAAGATATGCACACTTACGATCTAGCAATTCCATTCCTAAATATATACTGTGACCTAGAAAAACTCTCATATATGGGTACCAGGGACACAAGCTGACTGCAGCCAAAAATCGGAAACAATCTCAATGTCTGTCAACAGGAAAACAGATTGATAACTTTTGGTATAATCATTGACAAGAGCAAGCGAGATTGGTATATCTCCCACTTGGGTAGAACTAAAAAATATAATGTTGAGTGACAAAAGCAAGACATAGAATGATTCATATACTATTATACCATTTATATAAATTAAAGTGACATAAAACAATACTATATATTGTTTATGGATATGGAAATATGTGTGCAAAAGTATAAAAAGCGAACTAGAAGAATAAACATTGAACTCATGACAGTGATTGCCTGTGGGGGGTGGAGGAGGAGAATGGGCAGGGTGAGTAGTAGTTAAAAAGATTTTGGCTTTATTAGTAATGTCATATATATATTTGTTTTAAGATTTTTTTTTTAAAAATTGGGGTATTGGGGGGAGGGGAACAGTGCAGGAGAATTGGGGGAAGGGGAACAGACAAGTTGCTGTCGTTTTGTTCTTCAGTCTAGTTGTGGAGGACGTTGCTTCACTGGCCCAAGTTGGCACCATCATTGCGCTCTTCCCAGGCAAAGCAAATCAGTCGCCGGCTTCTGGACGGCCGCTCATATATATTTTTTTTAAAGTTAGGAACAATACTGACAAAATTGGATGTTCTTTTTTGTATTTTTAGTGTTTTTCATAGTAAATATTTTAAAAGGAAGGTCTTCCAGTAATCTTTCATGAAAACTGTTATTAAGAGTGTTGGTGTAAATCTGTGTGTACCTTTTAGGCATGTTCAAATAGACACATGATATATATATATATATATATATATATGTATATGTGTGTGCATATGTACTTGTACATATATAATGTAACATATACATATATTTTGTGTGTATCATTTTTGTTTTAGTAGGTTCCTACTATACATCCTGTTCTGGGACTTGGTATTTTCATGGATATCATGGACATTGTTTCATATTATTAAGATTAATCTAAATTTTCCTTTCAAAAATTCTGTGGTATTTCATTGTATGGATGGACCATGATTTGTTTAACCCATTATCATTAGTGGACATTTAAACAATTTCTTCTTTTTTTTTTTTTACTACTGTAAACAACATGGTAATAAATACATGTTAACATACATGTTTGCACAGTAATACAATTACTTCCTTGGGATAGATTCTTAGAGGCGAAATTGTAGGTCAAAACAAAACACTCAACATTTTAAGAAATATGACCAAGTTTCCCTCTAGAGAAGACTGCCCAGTAGGACCTAGTTCAGTGATGGAAATGTTCTGTGTCTGCCCTGTTCAATGCCCTAGCCACTAGCCACAAGTGGTTATCTGAGCACTTGAAATGGGGCTAAGTGAGTAAGAGACTGGATTTATTTTTATTTAATTTTAATTTTCATAGCCACGTGTGGTTAATGGCTAGCCCAGCTCTACAGTGTTCATCTCATTTTTCTCTCTTATCAATTAGGAAGGAAAGTGCTCTTTTCTCTTCCCTTCTCAGCATCAATTGAACTGTGTTTCAGAGCCCTGAGAACAGAGAGGAGAATATGGGAGGGCGTGGTCTGAGGACTCCACACCTGCTTTTATCTGATTGTTTTACCTGTTTTGTTTTAGTTGTTTGGCTTCCATGGATGATTTGCTTCCGGAAAGTTCTATGGCTAAAAAGTTTGAAAAGTCCTAAGTTGAGGCCTTTCCAAACCCCCTTCTAGCTCAAAGAGGCTAAGTAGAAATGGTGGGATGGCTGAATACGGGAGAGCAGTAGGATATCTGTGCATCTTGATAGGGGAGCAAGAGCATTTAAAACGCAGGAAAAGTTACAAATGTGTTATCTGTTTGCATGAAGGTCTTGGTGAAGCTGATGAGAAGTCATCCTGCTGTCAGCATCTTGAAGATGTTTCTTCTCTTTCAGGGTAAAGGTCCCAAAGCTGTCATCAACATCAAGGACTTGAATGCCACCTTCCAGACAGAGAAGATAGGGAACCCCCATGGGCTGCAGATCACCTATAAGAGAGAGGGCCACATCAGGAACCTATTTGTGTATCATGAAAGTGGCAAGGTGAGATGATTGGCGCCATCACACCAGCCTCCAGCTCGACACCCCAGGACTCCGCAGGCCCATCTCACCAGCTCCTTTGTTCAGCTGCCTTTCGGGATTTGCTGCTGCTGTTTGCCTTACTCTATTGTCGCTTTCCAGTCTGAGGTCGAGGTATGAGGAAGGCAGAGGAAGATCAGAGAGAGGAACCTGGCAGGTACCAGGGGTGTGTCTGAACAGTGCGTAGCCACCAAGGGGCGTCCAGTTAGCAGACGGGATTGTGCCCGCAGATGGCAAATCCAGGAGGAGCCAGAGATTCTGAATATGGGAGGAGGAATGGATAGAAGATCAGGAGCAGTGCACTCTAGGGCCTTGCTTCTCGACGTGTGGTCCTGTACCAACAGCACTAGCATCACCTGGAAATTTATTAGAACTAGTCTCAGGCCCACCCTGGACCTACTGAATTAGAAACTGACATCCCCAGGTGATCCTTATGCACATTAAAGTTTGAGAAGCACGACTTAAAGGTCCAGGAAATCAGATCCCTGGTTCTTAGTCCCCGGTGGGCCTTCTGCTATAACTCAGGTTGGCTGGCCACCCCTCCATGCCAGTCGCTACTATGAGGACTTTTGCTGAGGTGCCCAAGGTCTCTGCCACTTATGGTACCTGGCTCCTTCCCACTTGCCCGGTTGTGGACCATTTGACAACCTAGGTCTGGCCATTTGCCTCTTTCCCTTGATACCCCAGCATCTCTATTAATTAGATGGGCATAAATGAGGGGCTCAAACTCATGCTTGCAGGAGCCAGGTAGGTAATTCAAAAGTGAAGTGGATATTATAGGATAATAATAAGGCTGTGGCAAACGGGAAAACCTGTATAGAGGGTTGAAACAAACAAAACTTCAGGAGCCCAACAAACATGAATGCAGGTTGGATTTGGCCCCGGGGTCACCAGTTTGTGACCGGACAGACCTTTGAAAGTGAAGGCCTAGGTGGGATGGCCCCATTTCCTTAGTGCCTGAGACGCATGAAGGTTTTAAACTTCCAGGACTAGAGAGCTTAGAACTCCAAATGCTAGTCTGTATGCTCAACCCATGAGAGAGAAGGGTAAGTGTGTTTCATTCCTTTGAAATCATGTTCAAATGAATTTCTCAATTACCCAGTTACATGAGTGCAGCACTGCAGCTATTTGAACAAGTCTGTCTGCCTCCCAATTCCAAATTCCTGGGAGAAAGAAACTGATAAGCCCAGTCCAGCCTCTGCTCTGGCCCAGCCCTGATCCAGTAGCTGTGGCCAAAAAGGGGCGGGATCATAGCAGCAAATGTGGCTGCAACTGTGGGTGGGTGAGAATGGGTGGAGCCGTTCTCATACAAGCAGGGCTGGGGCTGAGCACATATCTATTGGGTTGTCGGAAAAGTCATGACGCATTTTTGCAACGAAAAACAGAGAAAAAAATACGTCATGACTTTTCCGACAACCCAATATTACGACATCTAAATTGACCTTCAGGATGAGTAGCATGTTCAAGGTGATAGTAGGTATATGTGGGGTGAGGGGCGAGAGGTGGGCCAGGCAGCGTGTTCTGGGAGGAGGGAGCAGCACGTACGGGGGGGATCGCTAATGGCGTTGTATGGAGGAAGCTCCAAGGACGAAGTAAGTCATACTAAGGAACTTGAACTTACTGAGGGTAGTGGAGAGGACTTAAAGCTAGACTCAATAGATTTGCAATGAGAACATCACTCTGGCTGCCATGGGGAGGACCAACCGGAGAGCAACAGAGTAGAGGCAGAGCCAGCTAGGTAAGTGGTTCGTCTGGTGAGAGATGATGGTGGCCTACCTACACTGCTGAGGGATGCGTTCTCCCTGAGTGACAGACAGCAGAAGGTCCAAGCCAGTTTTGGCCTAAGTTGCACTCGAGGCAAGGACATCCCCATTGGAGCATCCTCAGCAGCACCTGTCCCCACCTGAGAGCCAGTCTTTGACATCTGAGGACGCTTACTCCTCAAAGTGTGCCCTACTAACCAGCATCACATCATCTGAAAGCTTGTTAGGAATGCAGATTCCCAGGCCCCACCCCAAACCCACTGAATCCAAATCTGTATTTTTTTTTAAATTGAGGAACAGTGTGTTTTTCCAGGACCCATCAGCTCCAAGTCAAGTAGTTGTTTCAATCTAGTTGTGGAGGGCGCAGCTCAGTGGCCCATGCGGGGATCGAACCGGCAACCTTGGTAACCTTGGTGTTATAAGCACTGCGCTCTAACCAACTGAGCTAATTGCGCCCCTCACCCCCCTCCCCCAAGATCTGCATTTTAACAAGGTGATTGTACACACATGAGAAAGTATCAAGGACTGTCCTAGGCCATTGCATAACTCCCGTGCACCTTGGTTCTTTCCCGTGGCTCCTGGAATCTCCCTCTCAGTGGCTTCCCGCTTGCTTAGGTGAGCCCCCCCACCCCCACCACCAGGGGCTCTGGCAGATGCTCGTTATCAGCCCACAGGCCCCTGAGTGGAACTGGGGATGTGTGCATGTGTGGAATGCATGTGCCCAGGCCTACAGACGCAGCTAGCATCCTGCCACCAGACTCAGCGTCCCCCTACTCCATCTCACTGGCTGCCCATTTGCCCTTTCCATTTTTCTCTGCAGGAGATAGTGGACTGGTTCAATGCCCTCCGTGCAGCCCGTCTGCAATACCTAAAAATGGCCTTTCCTGAGCTCCCAGAGGCTGAGGTGAGCTAAAAGTGGACCCCAACTTCTGAGTCCCCTCTCTGCCAACTCCTTCTCCTTGTCTGCTGACCTCGAAGACACTCAGAGGCCAGACTAGGTTGGTTTGCAGGCCAGATCTTGAGACTTGGGGTTGGGTACCTTGCAGGGAAACCAAAGGCTTTCTCTTGGGATGGCTGGGGTATTATGGCCTCGTACATGGCAAGACAGCCTCCAGAAAGCAGGCCAGGCTCTCTTCTTTGGGATGTGTGGCACCATTCACCACGTCAAAGGGCTCAGGATTTAGGCATTTCTTCCTGACTCCATCTTCCCTCTAAAAGTTACAAATGATCCCTACCATACTGCTTATAAAAAGCTTTTGAGCCCATTTTATCTTGTAATTCCTTTTATCTCGTAATCCTTGCAGCAGACGGTTAGGTAGGGGCGATTATTCCCATTTTACTGATGAGAAACTGAACCCCAGGAAGGCCAAGTGAGTAGCCGAAGGTGCTCTTCCAACTTTCACATCCCCTTTTGCTCTTTTGTGTCCCAGTCTCGTGAAGGCAGTGGGCTCTTCCCCATTACAGTTCTAGCAGGAACAGTCTGCCTTTCATGGCCGAGGAAATGGTGAGCCTGAGAACTGCATGCTGATTGTCTTCAGGCGTCTGGGGCATCCATCTACCGCTCTCAGGCTTGGCTGCGGAAGCTGACAGTGTGGGGCCAAGAATGCTACCTCGAGCCAGGAGGCCTGGGCTCTTGCCGCTGCTCTATCACTAACTTGCTGTGTGACCAATGCAGGTCACGTCTCCTCTCTGCACATCTGTACGATGGCGGTTGACTGCATCCCTTCCAGCTCTGAGGGGCTATGACCTGGTGTCTTTTTTAGGCCCTGCTCTAAGAGGACTTTGTAAGTGGTGGGAGTAGAGGGATCATATTCATCCTAAGGCTATCTCATTCCGAACTGTTAGGGTCTCCTAGAGAGCCTGAATGTTCCTTAATACCGAGGTTTGCAGGGAGCCAAGTGTCTGGAATGGGGGTCCACTCCAGGGCCAGTGACAGATCAGGATGACAGCTCCCTGAAAGTGGTTCCAGCAAGGCCTGGGTCAGGGTGCTCGCGGTCTGCAGCGTCAATACCCAGAGCTGGTGAATCCACATTCCTCTGGGCAGGGTGTTGGGAGTGCTGACTGCTGACTGGAGAGGTCGGCAGGACAAAGTGCAGATGCTCGGCCTTATTTATCTCAGCTAGCTCTCCAAGTCTGCTGACCCCGGCAGAGGAAACTGGTCTTGGGCCAACATCCTCAATGTCCTCTTGCCTCCCTCATAGACCATGGTTACCCCTTATCTACCCCCAATCTCCTCCCTTGTCTCTCCTCTCCTGTGTCTATGTGAGGTTCTGGGCAATCACCCAGGCCTGGTTCCAGCTGAGGAGTCCAGATACCAGAAACTCAGGGAGTCCCCGTGGGGTTGTGGTCCTGTGCTAAGAAAGGCATGGACTCTGAAGTCAGAGAAGCTGATGTGTTACCCAGAGCAAGTCACCTTACCTCTCTGAGCCTCAGTTTACTCATCTGTCACCATGGGGATAATACCTACCTTCCAGGGCTATTGTGAGAAGCAAGTGAGCCAAGGTTTCTAAGGTACAGTAAGTAATGATCCATCCGTGTACTTTTCCTAACTCCCAGTTGTTTCCTAGGCCTGTCCCAGCCCTTTCATGGCTCACGTTCAGTGGTAGGGACTTTGTTTTTATTCCAGAGGAAGGAATCAAAGCCTATAGAATACATTCTGGCAAAAGGAGAATGGTATAATTTAGGTTTTTGGTTTGAGCTCACAGTATTTTCCCTTTCAGGCTTCTCATTCTTATTCCGCAGATCTCACTTCCCCTTTGCCTCTGCCCTGGGCCCTGGAGCTCCGGAGAACCCCTTCTGCTCTCGGAAGGCGGGGCTGGCGTTGGAAGCTCTAGATTTGCCAGGTTGACTCCTTGGAACATAGAAGGCCCGCATCAACCCTTGGAAGCTTCTCTGAGACTAGGATAGTAAGCTGGAAGGGATTCCGGAGAGCAGTCATCCAGTCTGCTTATTACCTAGAGGAAAACAGGCCCAGAGAGGCGTAGGCTTTCACCAAGGGAACACAGCTGGGTGAGGTCAGAACTGGAGCTAGAACCCAGGTCTCCCAACTTTTAGTCCAGAGCATTCTCTACTTGCCCACTCTGCTGTCAACTCCTTGGGGCCCTGTGTCCGAATCCCCACCAATGACAAGATCTTGGCCAAGGGGCCTGATCAGAAGCATGTTTATACTTTAGCATCATATTGTATTGGTAGGGGTACCACTAGTGTCTAGTGTCCCTCAGCCCTAGGTATGAATCCCAGATCTCCATCCTATCAGCAGTATAACTTTGGGAATACCCCTGACCACTATACAGTTATCTGATGAGGATGATAATATCCACCACTTCACGGGGTGGTTGAGAATTGCCCCCAGAGCATGATACACAGAAGACCTCAAAATACACCCCTTGACACCAGGAAGGTCTCCTCGGCGCCTTGCCTAGGGCCACCTCCTGGGGTTATTGAAGTAAGCATTCCTTAAACGAAGTTCTTCAACCAAGACTTGGCTATGCTGGGAAGCCCTGAAAACATCTGGGGTGCTGTCGTCCGGCTCTGTCGAAATATTAATATTGCATCCATACCACGTTCCAAATATAACCCAGTGAACCATAAGCACACATCCTTCCCCATTTTCCAAACTTCCCCTTTGTCGGGGAGCCAACTTCACTGGGGGAACTCTGAACCCCTGACATGTGAGTCAGGAGGTCAGTGTATGTCTCTCTCCCCCCAGCTCGTGCCCCTCATCACCAGGAACTACCTCAAACAAGGCTTCATGGAAAAGACTGGTCCAAAGGTATATTCTACCGCTCCCTGGGGGACTTCCATGGTCCCTGTCCCAGCAGGCAGTGGGACAGAATTTGGGAGGTGGAAAAATGGGGAACCAAGGGGAGGAAATTGGGAGGGAAGGGAAGCAAACCAATGTGTGTGAATTCCCGGGGTCAAGGACCAAGTGGAGACTGGTTCACGGGCCTATGACCCAGCGTCGCTGCAGGCGCCTCTCCCTGTCAGTGGGCATCCTCCCTCTTGATCAACACCATCCACTTCTTTCCTCTTGACTCCATCTAACTGACCCTACTCCTGGGAAAGCATCGCTGAAAGGGACTTACTTCTTGGGGATCCGCTTTGGCCTCTTTCAGAGCTGTGTGCTCTGTGCCGGGGGCCTGCCGGGACCATCCAAGTGAGTTGGGAGCTGGACACTCGTAGGAGAAAACACACCAGTACACCCTGGCTTGGATGCCCCCGTGGGCACGCCCCTCCTCAGCACACACTCCGCCTCTGCTCTCCTTTGCTAAACCTGCCTGTTCCCTCTTATCTATGAAGGAAGGGGAGCCTGGCTGCTTCTGTGCTCCCCATGGAGGGTCCAGAGGGATGCAGTCTACTGCTGCCCAAGGGCATCTCAGACCCAGTCTGGAAACTAGGTGGGGTGAGGCTCAAAGTCAGGCGTCTGGCTAAAGAGGGTGCCTGGTTGTGAGGAGAGGAAGAGGGGAAGAGGGAGGGGGAGAAGGAAAACGCAGAGGGAGCTCCCTAAAAATCTCCCAAAGCAGTCCAATGCTTTCTTTTTTAAGGTGTAATATGTTGGCAGGATGGTTGTTCAGACTATAGTGAAAGGTGTTAGGCAATCAGTGTGAAAGAAAGCCCCCGTTAGCTTGAAACCTAGTCAAAGAGTTGTTGCACGTTTTGTTTTCTTCTTTCCCCAGCCAGCAGCACAGCCCTCCCCAGGGTTCTCGTCCTGACCTAGATTAGAATTCGACCAAGGCCAGTGCTTTCAGCATTGCTGAGCAGTAACCACTTCTGATTTCCCCAACTTCCTTTTCCTGAGACTTCTTGTCCACAGCCTGAGAAAGAGGAAAGTGCCTCTTCCAACTCATGGCAGCACCTGCAGGCTGCAGGGTGATGCTGGCAGGGGGTGAGGAGGTGGGCAGAGCCTTCAGAACTCAAGGACCTCAGAGCGCAAGGGACTGGGGATGTCTGACTGTGGAGCCAGCCAAGGCTGGCCCTCTGACCTCTGTGCTCTCCAGCTTGGCCAACCCTGCTATGAGGTTTCCTGTTTTGCAGCAGAGAGAACCTTTCAAGAAAAGGTGGTTTGCCCTGGATCCCCAGGAACGGAGGCTGCTCTATTATAAGAACCCACTGGTAAGAGCCACTGCGGGCCCCTCCTCACTTCACCCCAAAATGGAGGTGGAGTCAGTACTGGTTGGGAGACTGGGGGGAAGCTACAGGGCTGGAGAAACCTGGTGCGGGGCACAGCGCCACCTTTGCTGGTCTCTAAGTCATCTCCTGTACATGAAGCTACTCTCTCCCCTCCCCTGCAGGAAGGCCTTTATGTGCATCCAAAATATTGCCAATGTAGTTAAATAAGTTGTTTCTTGTCCTCCAGTCTCCAGGGCTCACCTCTAACCAGGAGGCTGGGAAGTCTAGTGGTTAGGAGTGTGGGCTCTAGAGCTCAGCTCTCTGGGCTTCAGTTTCAGCCCTGCTACTTTTAGTGGTGGGCCCTGGGCAGAAAACTTAGCTTTCTGTGCCTCAGTTTCCTCCTCCAGAAAGCAGGCCTAATAACAGTGCCTTCCTGAAAGGTGGCCATGAGGCTTATTTGAGTTACCACACGTAAGGCACTTGAGCTCCTGGTGCATAGTGAGCGCTCCATAAATACTAAGTATCATTTAACGGATGATGTGTGTGGTTTCTTTTACAGTTTTAGCCTTTCAAATTCTGGGTTCACCGAGCAGAAATTCCCAGAAGAGACCACACACACACACACACACACCTCTCTTACTAGAAGAGAGCTTGGGGGCCATCATGGCTGCAGGTGCCTCTCTGCCCCAGGCGTGGCGCCACCTCTGATGACAACGTGTCCTCTGTTTCCAGGACGCCTTTGAACAGGGTCAGGTGTTTCTTGGGAGCAAGGAGCAGGGGTACGAGGTGTGTGAAGACCTGCCCAAGGGCGTCCGAGGGAATCGCTGGAAAGCCGGCCTCACCATTGTCACCCCTGAGCGCAGATTCGTCTTCACCTGCCCCAGCGAGAAGGAGCAGCGGGAGTGGCTGGAGAGTTTCCGGGATGTCCTCTCCCGCCCCTTGACGCCCCTCAACCTCCTCAGTAAGAAGTAGGGCCCTGGGTTGGTTCTTTTGGCCAAGGGCAGAGCGCATGAAGGGATTTTTTCCACTTGAGCCCTGAAACCAAGGTCATGGCTCCTGATTGCATGTTTTCCTTCCCAAGAAAAGTACAGACAGTGCACATTATTGCCAGAAAGCCCTCTGTCTACGCTAAGTTCCTCTTTCAGGGGCCCTTCCGCAATAGCATCTGGTGGAGTTTTGCCCTGACAGAACCTGGTTAGATCCCTTTTTCTACCCTGCTGAGTCCAGGGGCTGAGTAGCTTCTCTCTCCTTCCAACACACCCACCCCCCTTTTCTCGTGAGAAAAGCCTGGCCTGTTATTATTAGCTAAGGTCCACCGCTGGGCAGCTTCCAGGGCTTTGGATTCCTCCCAACTCACAGAGGGAAGGCTATTTTTAGGGCTCTTTTCTCTCCCTTCTGTCTGCCCCTCACTTGTTCCTTTCCTTCACCCCAGATGTGTCACAGTAGGCATCCCCTCTCTGCCAACAGCCCTTTGAAAAAAGGGGTGACGACCTGTGCTAGAGCAGGCATCTTCTGGTCCAGGGCCTGGCTTCTGGGGCCCCATGGAGAAGTTCTGTGTTTGGAAAAGTACAGACTAAGCGAGTGACCCCACATGGCCCCTCGGGAGAAACGCTTGTGCACTTTGAGTATGACCAGTAGCAACACAAACTCTCTTCAGATTCCAAAATCTCAAAGCCAAAAACAAACAAACAAAAATCTCAAAGCCAAAGTGCCTCAGACACAGACTCAGAAGTTATCAGTGAAGCACAGCAGCTGGTGCTTTCTTTTCCCGGCGGGCCTGTGTGTCTGAGTCCCTCTCTGTTTCTGCGTTTTTCGCTCTCTACTTTTCTCCTCTCCTCTGGTATGTGTGTCCCCTCTGTCTCTCACCCTTTCAGTCCTTTTTACATCCTGGTTTCCTCTGTCTTTGTGCCCCTGACCCCTGCCGCCCCTTCCCTCCAGTAGGACGGCATTGGCGCCTGTTGACCCCTCAGCCCTCTTCTCGTTCTCGTTGCAGCCGCATCAACAGAGAGTGGCCACAGCAGCAGGTGACCCATTCGCTGAGGAACTCGCTGGCCACTGGTCACGGGAGCTCTTGGTAGGAGGGAGAAGTCCTCACTTTGGTCTTGATTGCCCAGCAGGAGTGCCCTGCAGTTGGCAGCCATCTTTGGTGGTGAACTCTGCCAGGACTGAAGCTTTGACCTTGACCCGCCGGCTCCCTGGGCCTCCCCACGGCCTAGCCCTGGGGGTGTGGGGAATCTGGTACATGTCCCCAAGGCCCAGAACATCTGAAATGAAGGCACTGCAATGGAAAGGCACCTACAACATCACGCCAGTGGCATGCTTGTTCAAAAAAGAAAGTTTAATCCTACCTAACTAACCGTGAGGAAATAATCAGCCAAACCCATACTGAGGACATTCTATCAAACAACTGGCCTCGACAGTTTAAAAATGTCAGCATCATGAAAGATAAAGTAGTGTGGGAACTGATCTGGATTAAAGGGCTCAAGAGCAACACAATGCAAATCGTGATTCTTGGATCTTGGATTTTAAAAAACAGCTATAAAGGACATAAATTTGAAAATGGATGTGTATTAGCTAATAGTATTGTAAAACTGATAATTACGCTGTATGTGTGTAGGAGAATGCTATGTTCTTAAGAGGTATGTGCTGAAGTATTTAGGGGTCAAAAATAACAATTTTCAGCCTATAACTGAAATGGTTCAGCCAAAAATAAGTGTATGTGTACATGTATATGCATAGAGTATGTATCTATATAGTGTGTGTATACCTGCTGTCTTCCAAATATATATATTTGAAAGTATATATACAGAGGGAGAGAGAGAGAGAGAGAGAGAGAGAGAGAGAGAGAGAGGACACCTCTGTGCAAAATGTTACCAACTGATGAATCTAGATGAAGTATAGTGGGTCTTTATTATCCTATTCATGCACATTTTCTATCAATTTGAAAGTGTTCAAATTTAAAAGTTAGGGGGAAAAAATTTAAAACATTTTCACTTTTCATTCCTAAAACACAGTTTTCTCTACATGAATCAAAACTGTTCCTAGGAGAGTTTCATCTTTGTGTACATTTGAGAAGAAATCAAAGCCCAGATAATACAAAAAGCCAACGCCTGCACTGACTATCACTGCTCTGGAAGGAAAGGAGACAGCCCAGGAGACCGCTCTGCAGGACGCCAGGGCACAGAGCTATCTCGCCTTTGCGTCAGGTCTGGCCTTGCCACTCACTTGAGCCTGTTGGAAAGCTTGCTTCCGCACCACTGTGCCTTGGTTTTTGTCTTTCAAATGAGGAAGTTGTACTAATGATTGAAATTCAATGGAAGCAGCAAGTATTTGAGCACCTCCCAGGTGCCAGGCTCTGTGCCAAGCCCTGGGACTTGGCAGGGATGAGATGATGTGGTCCCTGCTGTCACAGGCTTCACAGGGCAGGACAATGTGGTGAGTGTTCAGGAAGGGGAAGTACAGGCTGCCGTGGGAGCATGTGGCCATCGGGTTTACCCTAACCGAGGGCGAGAGGGGAGCCTCCTTCCTCTCCAAAAGTGACATTGAAGTGAAAAGCTTAAAGCTATTTAGAGGTGAGTCCAAAGGAAGAGGGTGAGGAAAACACTCTTGTCTCAGGGAAGAGAATGTTCAAAAACCCTGAGATGGGGAAGAGGACTGAATGAAATCTCAAATGGCTGAAATGTTAGAGAAATGTTAGATCACCAAGGTCTCTGCTTCACGATCCTTTGTCCCTTCAAGTGATGTGCAGAACGACATTGGGTCTTCTGTCTTCATTCTGGTGGAGACTTACAGGCTTGGGAGGGTCTTTAAGAGATTCTCTGCTTGTCGTGGGATTTTCCTTTGGATCCCCCAATCAGAGGACAAACAACATCACCAGGGTGTCTTTTCTGAGTCTTCCTAACTGCCCAGATGGAGACGTGGCTGCTTCCTCCTCTGGGTCCTAAAGTACCTTGAAAATGTCTGTTTCAACACCTGCTGCGTTGTATATTAAGGATCAGTTTACTTGTCTGTCCTTTTTTTTTTTTTTTTACACCTATGAGCTCTGTTGACTATACTCCACTAAGTTCTGAGGATGAGAAAATCAATAAAGGCATAGTTCCCCCCTCAAGGAACTTATGGACTAGAAGGGAAGAAAGAAAAGTAGATAGGCAGTAACAAAGCTACTTGAGGAGGGAAACTGGGATTCCTGGGAGCCCCTCAGAGGGGCAGAGAACAGACACAAGAATAGCCAGAAAGCCCCCATGAAATGGAGTGCCTGGTTTTGGTTGGTTTCTGAGTCCTGACTGGGTCTGTCTTTGGGTTCCCCGAGGATGCCTCTCTGTACCCTCACCTTAAATCCTATTCTCCCTTTTGACTTGTTGGTACAAGGAAGTTTCTGTTACTGGAATCAGCCCTGCCTAATAAAACTCTCAAAAAGAAGTGCTTTCTATGCTGAATCCTGAAGAATGAGTAGAATACAATTGGGTTGGGGAAGGCAGAGAAAGAAGTAAGTACAAAGGCCTAGAGACAGAGACAGCATGGCCTGTCCTGGAAACTTCAAATGATTGAATATGGCTAGAGCACAGGTTGTTGGGAAGAGACGGAGTAAGAACAGATTAGACTGGAGGAGGGTCTGCTTCAATAATGGTGGAATAGCTCATATCAGAACAACCATTCCCCAGGTAATTAGAAACTCTGTACAGACTATGACAAAACAATTCTTTGAAGGCCCTGGAAAATGACCTACAGCAGGCAAAGACTAGAGAGAAGGTGGTACTGGAAAGCAAGAAATGGCATGGGTTTCTCTTTTTTTTTTTAAAGATATTTATTGTGAAATTGGGGAGGGGAACAGTGTTGGAGAATTGGGGAAGGGGAACATTGTGTTTTTGTTTTTCTTTTTCTTAAAGATTTTTATTGGGGAATTGGGGGAAGGGGAACAGACAAGTTGCTGTCATTTTGTTCTTCAGTCTAGTTGTGAAGAACGTTGCTTCACTGGCCCAAGTTGGCACCATCATTGCGCTCTTCCCGGGTGAGGCAGATCAGTTGCCGGCTTCTGGACGGCCGCTCACTGCAGCTGCTGGCTGCTCACGCTGGATGCTGGCTACACATGGTAGCCCATGGCAACCCACTGCCACAGGGTCTGCAGCCTACGCCGTCGCCGGCGACTCAGGGCAGCCCAGCTCCAGGTTGAGCTGTTGTTCAGCATCTTAGCTGTGGAGGGCAATGTCACTTGCCCTCATATGTGGGATCCGAACCAGGGCCCTCTGGCGTCCCAAGCCAGTTCTTAACCATCACGCCACTTGGTCGGCCCGGGTTTCTCATTTTTGAGCTTTTCACCCCAAGGGGGCACTAAAACGTTGATGGAAGCGTGCGTTCATACTAATTGAAAAGTAGAGGACAGCGTTTGGGGCGACTACAGCAGCTGGAAAGTGAGAGAGGGAAGTCTGGGAGGTGAAGGGTACAGAGGAGGAGCCCAGAATTCTACATATTACCTGCCTACTCTCTGGAGGAACATAGCAGAATCTGGAGTCTGACAATATATTATGAATATCAGGATACAGCCCTAAATTAGTAGACATATGAAGAAACAAGAAAATATAAATTATACTCAACAGAAAAGTCAGAAAACGGAACACAAATATTTTCACTATGTATTCTATAATGGAACAAATCCATAAGACTGTGTTCAGTTTTCTGAAGCAGACGCTTCAGAAAACTGTCACGGATATGGTTATTCAAGTTATTCAAACAAATGTATAATACAAGCAAATGCTACGGATCACTTACCAGTTATGGAACTGTTGAAAGAGACAGAAGACAATTCAGTGATCTCACGTCTTTTGCCAATGCTTTTGGGTGAGTATGGACAAGTTTTACAATTATTTACTGTACCGCAACTTTCAATTCGAAATTTTCTTTTTACCGTTTCTTGTTTACTTTTTAAGATATGGGTACTGAACCTTTTAAATTACATGTATGGTGCACATTATATTTCTAGAGGACAGCATTTGGCGTCGTTTCACTTTAAAAAGGTAGAGAAAGAAGAGCAAAATAAATCCAATGTAAGTAGAAGGAAAGAAATAATAAAGCAAAATCAATGAAAGAGAAAACAGACACACAATAGAGAAAATGAGCAAAGCCATAGTGTCTTTTTTTAAAGATCAGTAAAATGAAAAACCTTTAGCTAGACTGATGAAGAACAAAAAGAGAATGAGAGAGAGAGAGAGAGAGAGAGAGAGAGAGAGAGAGAAAGAGAGAGGGAGAGAACACTTACAGATGAGAATAGAGACTGACAGGCAGAGCTTGATAAACCATTTTAACATTGGGACTTACAGCATTGAAGACATTAAGCAAAGAAGTCACATTGAATTTTAGCAAAACAAGGCAGTAATGTAGAGTATAGATAGGAAACAGACCAGGTGGGAGGCCATTGCAGGAAATCATGAATGCCGTGAGTGTGTAATTGGGGACCTGTGTCTGGGGCATCATGCCAGCTCTCCTTGCCCACCTCTCTTTCCTAAACATCTCCTACTTAGAGAAGAAAGACATACCTCTCCTACCCATTCTAAATCTTATTAGAGTGCTTTGCTCCAAGGCATAAAAATCATTGGGATACCAAAGAAAGAAACAATTTGACATACTAGTGGCAATAAAACTTTTTGTTTTTGTTTTTTTAAAGATTTTTATTGGGGTATTGGGGGGATGGGAACAGTGCTGGAGAATTAGGGGAAGGGGAACAGACAAGTTGCTGTCGTTTTTTGTTCTTCAGTCTAGTTGTGGAGGACGTTACTTCACTGGCCAAGTTGGCACCATCATTGCGCTTTTCCCGGGCGAGGCAGATCAGTCGCCGGCTTCTGGATGGCCGCTCACTGCGGCTGCTGGCTACTCACGCTGGCTGCTGGCTACACATAGTAGCCCATGGCAACCCACTGTAGCCGACGACTCACGGCAGCCCAGATCCAGGTCGAGCTGTTGTTCAGCATCTTAGCTGTAGAGGGCAGTGTCACTGGCCCTCATATGTGGGATCCGAATTGGGGCCCTCTGGCATCCCAAGCCAGTTCTTAACTATCGTGCCACTCGGCCGGCCCTAAATTGACTTTTTATGTTCTATAAATTTTAATACATATGCGGATTCATGTAACTACCAGCACAATCAGAACAAACAGCAGTTAGTCACATCACCTCAAAACCTCCCTTGTGCTATCTCTTTATATCCATGCCCTTCCCCTGCCCCCTGGCTACCACTGATTTGTTCTTCATCAGTACAGATTCATATTTTTGAGCATGCCATATAAATGGAATCATTCAGTAATCTTTTGAGATTGGCTTCTTTCACTCTGTATGTCTTTGAGATTCATCCAAGTCATTGCATGTGTCAATAGTTCTTCCCTTTTCTTTTTTTTTGCTGAGTAGTATTCCATTGTATAGATGTACCACAGTTTGTTTATCCAGTGGAATAGTACTCAGCAATAAAAAGGAATGAATTAGGGCCGGCCGAGTGGCGCGATGGTTAAGAACTGGCTTGGGACACCAGAGGGCCCCGGTTCGGATCCCACATATGAGGGCCAGTGACACTGCCCTCCACAGCTAAGATGCTGAACAACAGCTTGACCTGAAGCTGGGCTGCCGTGGGTCGCCGGCGACGGCGTAGGCTGCAGCCCCTGTGGCAGTGGGTTGCCATGGGCTACCGTGTGTAGCCAGCAGCCAGCGTGAGCGGCCAGCAGCCGCAGTGAGCGGCCGTCCAGAAGCCGGCGACTGATGTGCCTCGCCCGGGAAGAGCGCAATGATGGTACCAACTTGGGCCAGTGAAGCCACGTCCTCCACAACTAGACTGAAGAACAAAAACGACAGCAACTTGTCTGTTCCCCTTCCCCCAATTCCCCAGCACTGTTCCCATCCCCCAAAATCCCCAATAAAAAAAAATCTTAAAAAAAAAAAAAAGGAATGAATTATTGATACAATATCCAGGAGTGGGTGTCTTGGTGTAGAATTAACCCCTGGTCGTTCACAGCATGTAAAAAAATTTACGAGACTCTACAAGAAGATCCAAAGAAGAGATTTATTGAAAGTCAAAAAGGGAGAGAGAGTTCTGTTTGGAACTGGCAGAAGTTTTGCCAGGGCAGAGTCTGATGGAGACCGCTGTGGAGACAGGGGTAAGAGAGAGATACCGGCAGGAGTTGGGCCAGGGCAGAGTCCAATGGGGGACAGCTACACCAATGAGAAGGAGTGCTGGGGTTTTATATTTTTCTAAGCAGGATGGAAGGTGCTTGTCAGCTTAAGGGGCTTGGGGCGGGGAGGGGGGGCTGGCTGTTGTTACAATTGTCTTCTCCTGGGAACTCTCCTGTTTCTATCTATGATGGATGTCAGCTTGCAGGGGGTTGCTGTTGCGATTGGGAACTATTTTGTTCCCACCTTTTATGGATGTAAGGTGCTTGTCAGCCTGCAGGTGCAGTGCTGGCCAGGGGAGTCAGAGCCAAGCGGTTCATGTTTAAGCTCTCTCCCGCCAGCTCACAAGCTTGCTCCTGTGAACGCCTTGCCCATCCCATCTTGCCGGTTCACAAACCCACTCCCGTTAACTCTTTACTTGTCTTTTCAGTGGGATTGCTGGGTCATATGGTAGGTATGTGTTTAACTTTATAATAAACTGTCAAACTCTTTTCTAGAGCGGTTGTACCATTTTGCATTTCCACTAGGAGTGTATGAGTTCAGTCACTCTGCATCTTCACCAGCACTTGGTATTGTCAGTATTTTTAATTTTAACAGTTCTAATAGGTGCATGGTGGTATCTCCATGGTTTTCCTTTGCATTTTCCTAATTGCCGATGATGTCAAACATTTTTCATGTGTTTATTTGTCAATCTCATATCTTCTTTGGAAGAGTGACTGTTTTGTGTCTAGTGTTAATTTTTCATTGGATGGTTTGTTTCCTTTAAAGATTTTTATTGGGGAATTGGGCGATGGGAACAGCGCTGGGGAATTGGAGGAAGGGGAACAGACAACTTGCTGTCCTTTTGTTCTTCAGTCTAGTTGTGGAGGACGTCGCTTCAGTGGCCCAAGTTGGCACCATCGTTGCGCTCTTCCCGGGAGAGGCAGATCAGTCGCTGGCTTCTGGATGGCCACTCACGCTGGCTGTCGGCTATACACAGTAGCCCATGGCAACCCACTGCAGGAGGGGCTGCAGCCTACGCCGTCGCCGGTGACTCACGGCAGCCCAGCTCCAGGTTGAGCTGTTGTTCAGCATCTTAGCTGTAGAGGGCAGTGTTACTGGCCCTCATATGTGGGATTCGAACCGGGGCCCTCTGGTGTCCCAAGCAAGGTCTTAACCAACGCGCCACTCTGCCGGCCCTGGTTTGTTTTCTTGTTGTTCAGTTTTGAGAGTTCTTTATACATTCTGGATATTAGTCCTTTGACAGACATGGGATGTGCAAATATTTTCCCCCA